CAATGTAAGCTAAAGTTAAAGGAGATAAATGAACTGGCTCCAAATATCCAAGATGGCGAAAGCAAAAATCCCAAACCCAAGGCTCTAGAACAGGAGTCCATAAACCAACAGGTGACATCATGGTGGCTACATCCTTTTTTTTTGTGCAGTCTATGGGCGCTTCACGTGAAGAATCCACAGTTAACAAGACAGTGGTGTTTCTAATACTCCCGTGCTCACCTTGACTATATGCAGCTTAGGCAGCAGGTTACAATCAGCCAGGGTCATTTCATCACCGTCCAAGAATTTACGGTTGGAAACCTTGATGTCCTCAATGCTGTTGTGGTCGATCTCGTCGGGCAGTGGTGAGCGAAGGTACTCGTCCAGCTTCTGCAGTGTCTTCAGGAGGCCACGCTCCAGAGCTGCAACGTGACACAAGAGATATTATAAAAAATGTTTTAATTCAAATTGAACTGTATATTCAGTTTGAGCAAATAATCTTTTAACAGTATTAAATTATCATGGCTTTTCCTCAACCCTCCTGCTGCAGCTGCTACACCTATATGCTGATCAACCACATGGGGGCAGCATTTCATCAGTCAGCAGACAAGTGCTTGTGTGCATGTACACCATGTACATTATAAATAAGGAAACTGAAACATCATGGACACCTGCACATTCTAACACAATCTATTCCATAGCATTGTGACACAATGATGTGCCGTTGCAACAAATACCAAAACCTTACTACCCACATTTCAATAGATTGCATTTGATTGCACAGGTGTGACACTTTGTCCCCACCCTATATTCATTCATCTATAAATCATTCATTAACAATTTATTCTATTGTTGGAAAATATGACATGAATGTTCGATCCAGTAGTTCAACAGCAGACTTGACCTGTTACTTCGGAAAGCACTTATCATCGAACCATGAGATTCAGCCTCAAACTCTGTTGACACAGCCTTGGCTTTCACATCAAGCTCACCATGGTTCAATATTTTCCCAGGGTGGAGAGCAGCCAACTAAAACATGACACAAAATCTTGGTATTTTGTGAACACTATAAACATCCTTCAAGCGAAACAATTCCACAAATTGTTTCACCCAGGATACTGCAAAATCTCTTAGACAATAGATTACATATTTCCCATATTATTCCAGTAATCTTATCTGTTGAGTTTGTGATATGACCCCCTCTCTTACAGCAGGGTCTGGGGTGCAAGGAACAAGAACAGCAAGGATGAGATTGTGAGCACTAGTTCATTCACAGGATAGCTGCTCTGTGGTTTTCCAGAGAGCTCCACCAGGTGAGACGGGGAGCAAGAGGACAAGAGGAACAAAAGCTCTGTGTTCCCGAGTGAGGCTGTAAACCACCAATCAGGGCAGGGCTATCACTGTCGCCTAGCAACCAGAGGGCTCTCCCTACACAAATGGAAGGTTTCTGGATCTCTGCTCTTTACCAGCGTACCCAATCAAGTGTGTGTGTGTGTGTGTGTGTGTGTGTGTGTCGAACACAACGAACAGAAATACAGGTAACTTACCCTCATTCGCATCTGGTTTTGAGTTCTTAATGAATGCTGAAAACTTGGCAAAGATGTCCATACCAGATGTGTTTGACTCGGGGTGTCTTGCACCAAGCTTGATGTACCTGCACACAAGCACACATATGTAAATACACACATATGTATATGTATGTATGATGCATGTATGATGGTTAAAGGATAATTCTGGTGATATTCAGCATTTTTGTTATTGTAAACAAACCCCATCTTTAAAAAAAAAAAAAAGACCTAAACAACCAGTAACTCAATCCTATTAAGAAAAAAAACAACCTAGTATTAGGGCTGGATAGCATTTCAAAACTTCAGGTGCCAATACCAGTACCCTTAAAGTGATACCAATACCAGCAGAATACTTGATTCGATACCCATAATGTGAATGGAGTGGCATATAGTACAGCCATACTTCCTAATGTTTTGGTAACATCGCAGCACGCTGATCTGCCAACTCTGCATATTCACCACAGTCAACTTCACCACACTACAGACTGTATGGGTTGTAGCTGCTGTTGCAGGAGTGTGAGCTTTGTGCTGGGCAGTCGGCAATAAGAGTCCGCCTGGCTGCACACATACACAGTGAGAGGGCTAACTGTTAACATCACACAACTAACGTAACCTAACAGTTTTTAACAGGGTTGGGTGTGAGTTTGTTCAGACCGACTGACAGACTGGTGTTGGATGTTAGCTGCTGCTGCGTTAGCTCGTACTAACCAAGCAGACATTGACTTTACCGTTCACCAGGAGGCTAGCAGCTCCGCAGACAGCTGCAACAAAAAGTTTGCTGATCTGGTGGGTAGTCTGGACGGACCGGAATCAGACCCCCAGTGCAAAAAAGATCAGATGTGGGCATCGTCTGACTGGAGGTACTGGGTTATTTTGGCTGATAACAAAGGAATACTTTGCATATCTATTTTCAAACAGGTGCGTAGGAGAGGGACAAGAAGAATTAAACTTGAAGAAAAGACTCCCCCAACAGTTTTGTAAAAAACAGAAGCCATCTTAAAGGCACTATATGTAACAATTTCAGTTGTTCTTTGAGACAAACAAATTTTGCAGTCAAAAGTGTGTCCTAGCACATGTGTATTTACCTCCATCAGTGTATCTAAGTATGTC